TAAAAATGCTAAACTGAACTCATAAGGTAGACCAGATATCAAATTTATAGTTAGCTAGCCCAGCAGATAAACAGGAGTTTAAATTAGAATATAGTTAATTTGGTATATTACAGAGTTAGTTGCATATAAGTATATTTCAAACTCTAGTATAAAGATAAGGAGAATGTAGATTAAATAAAATTAAAAATATTTATTTTATTAAATTTTTTATTTTATAACATTAAAGTTTAGTACTATATACTATATTAAAAACTATTAATTATAATAAAAATAATATATTTTATTAGATTTATTATTTAATAATTATATATAAAGAAAGTAAATATAATATTTATTACTAATAAATATAAACTTATTAAAAATTCTATATATAAATAAAAGCCAAAATTTAAATATTAATTTGTAGCTAACAAATTCAAATATATTACAAAAATCAACAAATTTTAAATATTAAATCTAAGCTTATACTGCTAAGAGCTTGTACTGTATCTATTCAAATTAAATAATTAAAAATAAAATTTTATTTAAATTTAATATAATAAAAATAGTTTTAGATAAAAAAACTTTTTTAGTTACTTTTACTTTACTATATAATTTTATATATCTAATAAATAATAATATATTTAGTCTTCTAAGCAAAGTCTATAAGAAGTAAGATCTTTTTGAAATTCTTTTGCATGGTGAATATTAATATTTATTTAAAGCTAGAAATAGCTTTTGTAATAATTTTTTATTAGTAAAATATTACATTATCAAAAAATACTTTAAGGGTAGAATGTATTTAGATCATTTTTTATATGATATGTATAGCAGATCAAGACCTTATATAGACAATAAAAATTAGCCACTAATAAAAATTTTTATAAACATTGTTAATCATTACCAAATTTTTGTAGAACATAAATTGTAACTTCTATTTATAGTAGTAAAATATTAAAAACTATATTATTTTAAAAAAAATATACTTTCTTATACTGTTAAATTTGCCAGGATTATACAAAAAATAAATAGTAAAAATATTTTTAAATCAAGTAATTACCCAATTAGATTTGTGCTTACTATGTAATTTGTTACAAAAAAATTACTATATATATTATATGAAAAATAATCTATATATACTCTACTCTACTCTTAAGTTATTTAAGCAATTAATTTATATTAGCCAATCAAAAGAATATCTAATTATGAGCCAATTATATAGTATTGCACTATGTTTATATAAAACACCCTAATTAAGCAAATTAATCTCAGAAGTTTGAAAATTTTTTAAAACTTTTAGCAAAAATTTTTCAATAATTATATAATCAAATTTAGTAATTTTTTTTTATTTTAATTCTATGCTTTTGTAAAATTAAAATAAAAAAAGGTTTATTAAATATGCTTAGTACTTTATTGAAAAACTTTACTAAAAATTTTTTAAAAAAGCTTGAAGTATCTAAAAAAATAATAATTAAATAAAATTTTTATTTTTAAACTTAAATAATAATTTATCAATAATTATTTATTTAAATTTAATAGAATTTTTTATTTTAATCTGAGTTTGTAAGATTAAAATAAAATAATTTTTATTAAACTTGAATTGGTAGTTAAGAAATATTGATTTAAAGTTAAAAATAAAAATAAAAATAATCACAGCTTTTTTTTTTACAAATACCTAAATTTTGAATAAAAATTACTTGTCATTTATTTGATCAAATTCAATTGATTTTTTTTATTTTATTCTATAAGATTATAGAATTAAAATAAAAAATTTGGTCATATTTGATTAGATAAGTGCCAAATAATCTTTACTCAAAATTTAGATATCTGTAAAAAAAAAGCTGTGTTTAATTTTATTTATTTTAGCTTTACATATTTACAAAATTAAAATAAAAAAAAATCTATCAAATTGAAAAAACTATCATTTAAAATTTAAATAAAAAATTTATTTCAATATTTTTTTTTTTAATTTTTTAAAAACTTTAACTAATAATTTTGCAAACTATCTAGTTAAATTTGATAAAATTTTTTTATTTTGAATTCTGCTAATATGTAAAATTTAAATAGTTAGTTGTTAAGAAATATTAATTAAAAGCTAAAAAAAAAAAAAAATAGCTGTAGCTTTTTTATTACAATTATTTAAAATTTGAATAAAAATTATTTGGCCTTACCTGAACAAATTTAATCAAAAATTTATTTTAATTCTATAATTTTATAGAATTAAAAAAAAAATTTAATTTGATTAGATAAATACCAAGTAATCTTTGTTTAAAGTTTAGCTTTTTGTAAAAAAAAAAACTATAGCTATATATATATATATATTTAACTTTTAATTAATATTTCTCAACAATAACTTTTTCTAACAACCTCTTGCACCAACTTTTCCAGAAAGCCCAATCTATAAAAACTATATAGTTACTATATTTAAATACCACAAAACTTTACTAGTAGTAGCTAGAATTAGTAACTATTTACTGCATATTTATATAACTAAAATAGAGTTAAAAAAAGTCTCCCTTGTAAGCAAAATTCCCTGGCAGAAGACTCTGGTGCTACCAAGCAAAGAAGTAGCAAACAAGCTCTAGAGCTTTATTAAGTACGATACTTTGGCAGAAGTAGCTACTTAGTTAGATATATTATTCTGTATAGCATAACTCTTACTATTCTCTTTAAGTTGGCTGCCTTCTACTCTCTTTTCTATTTTAAGGTTTTTTTAACAAAAAGTAAGCAATTTAGTTTGCTCCTTACAAGTGATCAACAGTGTTTATACAAACCAAATTGGGAACTGAGAGTTATATATTCTTCTCTTCATATGTTTAAAATAAACAATATGTATACTGATTATATATAGTATATTATTTTTGGATAACATAGAGACTTTGATACTCAGTACTATATAATTTTTACTAGGCTACTATAGCCGAACTATATACTACATATTTTTTTTCTTTTCTTTTTTATTTTTTCTCTTTTCTTTATACAGTCGACTCTGGATATAACGAACCTTTTTATAACGAACACACTATATAATGAACTTTTTTTTTCAAATTTAATATAAGTTCGGTATATAAAATATAGTAAATTACTATATAACGAACTTTTAAAAATTTTTACTATAAGACTCGTCAGTTCGTTATAAACAGAGTTGACTGTATATATAAATCCGCAAACGTGACGAGAAAAAATCTAACCAACGTGTCTCGGAAGATCTATCGATATTGTGTTTCAGTTTCGGAATGTATCACGGATAAGATCGACTTAATTAATTGCTTCTGCTCGCCGATCTACCTTATAGAAGATATATAGTGACTTTGAAAAAAAAATCAAAGAATTAAAATGAGTAAAATATTTTACTCGTTTCTGGCTTATTGAGGGTTAGTTTTATCTCTTTTGTTCTAAATTCTTTTGTTTATGGCTAAGCTGAGAGCCTTAGGAAACAGGATGATATTTTCACGACAACTTATTCGACATTTTTCTTTTTTTTCATTATTATCTTACATTGAATAATGAGATGAAGAGCAAGAAGGTGTAAAGGTTTATGAAATAGGCGAAAGTTTTAATAAACAATAAGGGTAAAATAAAGTTGTATTTTGTGGCTACGTGAAATCTATATAATTCATGTAGAATAACTTTCAATAAAGTAAGCATATAAATGTCTTGCGGATAGTTTGGTGTTAAGAACTTGTTCTCATTGATACAAATCACTCGTTATAGTGAACTCTCCATATAGCAAATTTTAGAAAGTTTTATTAATGAGGCTGATCACTTCACTATAACAAGAGTGACTTTTATTTAGTTTTTAAAAATAATGTTAGTTGCATTTGTAATAAATAAAAAAAATACTTTTATAAAAGAAATGTATATTTTATTTTACTTGTTTACATGTAGTGTTAAAAAATTCGGATTAGCCATAATAAATATCAACACTCATTAAATATTTATGCGCGTGATGTATATGTTGTGTGCGAAAAGTCTACGGACTGTGCTTAGGGACAGTGCAAAACTACGTGATTGGTTAGTTAGCGGTTAGGGTTTTAGGTTAGGGTAGATGGTTTTTATTTAAAATCACGTGATTTGCACTGTCCCTATGTACTGTCCGTAGACTCTCCGTGTTGTGCGTCAGATTGACCAACATTAAATGATCGGCAATAATTGGCCTAAAAAACTCCTAACTTTACCGTAATTTTACCCTAACCCTAATCTAACTTAGGCCGATTGCAAGTTTTAATCTGACGCACGACATATATATGAAAACATAATACTGTAATACCTTTAAACGCTTATAACTTTAAATCATAAACTTTTTACCGATAATTTGGATAATACTAATGAAAAACAATAGTTTTATCAGTTACTTTTTTTAAAAAATAAGATTTTATAGATTTTTTGATGAGAAATGACTTGGTGCACCATTTTTTAAATGATTTTTAAAGTTTTTAGAATTGCTTGAAAATTTTTTTATTAAAATTTGATTAAGTTATCAAAGATTTAAAAAAATTTAGAATAAATTTGTGCGTTTCTTCTGACTCACCCCATATCCTGAAACTATTATACTTAAAGAACCAGAGGCACTAATTACTTTGACTCTCGTATTAAATATAAAAAAATGATGTGTCATAAAAGAATTCACATTTAAATCTAGAAATCTGGAATAATGTATTTAATTGTGGGGGGCTAAAACTAAAATTTTGGGGTCTATTTAGATCTATAAAACCTACTAAAATCACCTATACTTTTTTATTAACAACCCTGATCCTAAATTCTAATCTAACACTACAAAAAAAGCAAAAAATTTCAGCCTTTAGCCAATTTTAACTTTAGTTACCACATTTATTATAAACAAGTGATTACTATTAAAATTTTTTTTGGCAGTAAACCAATCTGATTTAAATTTTACCAGTGATAATTAGAGATTTACCCATCGCGAAAATTATGTTTCTCTATAACAGATAAGCGTATTCAACGCCTTTCATATATATATTAAATATCAGAACTCTAAATAACAATTGGCTCCACTTTTATCATGTCTCATCCTTCACACACTCGTAAACTAATCCTGGAAATGGATCTTCAGATCCAACATCCAGTTCATGTAAATCTTCCAAATCATCGTTCTTAACATTCTCATTCGTATTTTCAGCATTTCTCATTTTTACACCTTGAATAATATTTAAAGGAATGCGTAATTTACAAGCATGCAACATCATACGAAATGTGTCAGTATATTCCATAATTTGCGATTCGTAATGCCAATCACCAACAATTGGGTGACCTAAATATTGGCAATGTAATCGAAGTTGGTGTCTTCGACCTGTTATTGGGTAGAGGTTTATTAATGTTACTTTAATTGGTGATTCTGAAGGAAGAGAAGAAGGTGAAGTGGGATAAAAGTATCCACGGCGAATAACTTCAAGTTTCGTTTTTGCGGCTGAAATATGGTGTGCGTGTTAGAAAATATGTTAAACAATGTTTAATTTAATACATAGAATTTAAAGTACTTTTCCAGGATTTTCAGGTGTCCCGATACACATTCTATACCGATTATTTGGAACTTGGGCGATTGGTTGGTCTATTAAATAACTTTTTTATATATTATTTATAGATTTATTTGTTTTATTGTTATTAATTTATTATATTTATTTATTTATTTATCTATTATTCATTATTAAAGAACCTGTCAGATCGCATTTAAAATCTAAAGGTACTTACTTATTTTGGTCCATCCATCCTCTTACAATTGCGGAATATGTTTTCTCAACTTTACGATTCGCGAACGCCACACTAGCAATTCCAGCTGCTTTTTTTGATAATGCTAAGCAATAACATCCAGATGTTGCATGATCTAATTGGTGTACATTGCGTAATGGAGTCGGCAATGTTGGATCTTGTGCGTACAAAAGAGAGGATACTAGGAAAACGAGGTTAAATGGTAAATTTTATTTGTTTAAATAATAAAAATTATATGTATAATAGTTACAAAATTTGAAAGGGTATCGTACCGGTGGGAGCTTTTGATGTATCACCATCTATTCTAATGTCATAGCTTTACTTTCACGGCATTTTAAAAGATTTGATAAAATATGAATTTTTTTTGATTAATGTAAAAAATAAATATAAAAGATACAATTAATTTTCGTTAAACCATTTTTCTCGAAAATCATATAAAAAAAAATATGAAAATGTTAATAACATACGGTTTATCAACCACTAAAAAATCTTTATTACGAAATAAAATTTTTACTTTTTGATTAATAGTATTATCAGTCATAGAATTGTTGGTGAATCTTTGAGTTTGGATACGAGAATTCATATAGTTAATTGTGCTCATGGAAAATGTATATCGAGAACTCATTAATAATAAAATTCAATATCCGAGTTACTCACCTATTTATAGAATTGCAGGATTGGTCGATTTAGTATTCATGTGAAACGTAGTGTATAAAATTTATAAATTGTCCCTAAAGCCGCAGTCACTTATTTGTGCGAGTAATACAAACTTCTAAAAAGGAAATGGCCAATCAGAGAACAGAAATTTAGGGTTTTCCGGATCAGTCCGACTTAGTTTATTTACAAATAGTGTTTTAACCCGTCAACCCGGGTGACCCGTCGGGCTGATCCGGGAGGACTGACGGGTATTCCCAGCCAATCGCCAAGGTTTTTTTACATCGGGTAAAATAGGTTTAACTAGGGTTTGGAGCATGCTTTAAAAATTAGGCATGCTCTTAAGGCAGTGTTGGGTTTGGATATTGTTTTATTAAAATTGCAAAAACATGAACAGTCCCAGATAATGTCTCATATTCAGGACAATAACCATATTCATGATGGTGTCTAATATTATATTGTATATAAGGGCCTATAAAATGATTAGATTGGCCAACAAAGCAGCCCTTGTTATAATTTTAATTGTTTAGAATATTAATATTTTAGCAAATACTGTATGTTTAGGATGTTTTATCCCAGACTGTCTGTTGTTTATATTCTTGTCTTAGTACAACACTGTTTTAAAAGTATTCATATAATAATAGACTAATTATAAATGTAAAAACAATAATTAAATAAAGAAAAAAATTAAAATACTTATATACAAGTATGCCTTGAGCTAAAACATGCTTTTATATCTACAGAAATATATATATACAGTACACCTTTCTAAAACTAATCCTGTCAAAACTGATAGCCTGCTATAATCGATAAAAAATTAATCTATCATATCTATTTCATAATTAAAATCTGATAACCTGCTATTTCTAATAACCAATACTAACAATATCAGATATTTATAAGATATCAGTTTTGACAAATACTATAAATTGATTTGATTAGCTCATATTGGGTTTTGTGTAATAGATTATATATATAAGAAATATAGTTAGGAAATATATCAAATTTGGACAATGTTGATTGCACCTTTTATAGTAATAGATATATCAATCAAATCATTCTAGAAATATCTATTACGATATATCTGCACATGTAAACTTTAATACAGTAATATTCAAGGTTCGAAGGGATGTATACTCGAAGTAAATTTCATAATAAACAAGCTTAATAACAAACCTTGTTTGTTATACTTATTTTTAGACAAAGAGCTTTGGAACAAGGCAATCATAACTTTATGATTTGGGGTTAAAATCCTGAAAAATAGTTTTCTGAAAGAATATAATACTGACTAAATCGGCAAGTATTCTGGCTAACTTTGTCAGTATTATGTTCTTTCAGAAATCTGGTTTTCATATTTTAACCCAAATTCAAATTTTATATAGTTGTATACAAGATTTGTCAAATATTGTAATATGGAGTCTTTGCCTTGAAAATGACCTTATAGTATATGATACCGTAAAGTCATTTTCAAAGCAAAGACTCTATATCATTTCAGTTATTTCAATTATAGTTTAAAATTGCAGCAAAGGATCATTTGAGTTAAATGCTTCTAAATTGAACTTTTATCTATTTATAGACATGATTCAAAACAATGGCGATTATTTAAAAAATGACTGGACTATTTTTTTTATCAGAAAAAAAAAAAAAAATTCTTTGTACATATATTAATAAAGCTATACAAATTTAATTACTTGGTTTTCATAACATGCATCTTTTAAATAGACCCGGCTGGCCGGCTTTTTTTTTTAAATTTCATATATAAAATTGTATAAAATTTTATAAAAATTTTTTTTTAAATCCCACCCGGTTATTAAAACATATAAAAATTTTTTTTAGAAGTTTTCAAATCTTGACCTAGCCGGGTTATGAAAACCAATTGATTAACTTTGCATGGCCTAATATTAATAAATAAATTATTTAAAAAAAATTACATATTGAATAACAAATATAAAAATAATAAGTAAAAAAAAAAAGAAGAATTAATTAGAGATATTATCAGCTTGACCTGGTCTATATCAAAACCAACTAATAAATAGAATTGAATTGCTGTAAAATTCTAATTCTGATTAGTATATTCTATTTTATCATTTTGTATTTCTAAAACCTCAATGTATTCAGAGTTATTATCAGGATTAAATAAAGATCTTACCTCTTCTAATACTGCCAATAATTCGTTATGCCTTTTAGACTTGAGTTCACAATATTTTTTTTGTATACTATCACCAGCTTGTTCAAGAAGCACTTCAATTTTATGTAAAATTTTTGCATTGGTCATACTTGTATCATTTATTTGCTTAGCTGCTTCTTGTTTGGTAATTGGAATTGATCTAAATAAAGAAGCAAAATTATTATCATAAAAAACCTCAATAATATATTTTTGCTGAGCCTCTTTAGCCAAATTTATAAATTCCTTCAACTATGCACTTAATTCATATTTCTCTTCTAAGCTTTTACAAGCAGTTCTTAACTCTATTATTGGGTTAACAAAATTTTCTTTTCGGAGGTGAGCATGAAATTTTTTATATTCTACAACTGCTTCTGGCTTGACCCTCGGACCAGTCATTTGAATTTCATTATATTCAATAAATTGAAAAAAATTATTTCTTAACTAAATTTAAAATATAACAAATAAGCCTTAAAAAAACTTTTAACAATAAACTAATACAATAATTATATATATACCTGGAAAAATTTTTTACAATTTTGTGTAGCAATTTTCTAATACTGCATTTGTAGAACAGAAGGTATTAATGTTTTCAAGGCTTTATTTATCTCCTCCAAAATCACATCTAGCCCTTGATACTAATTAAAAAGCCCTGATCATGAAATTACACAATTATTTTCCACAATACCTTATATAGTCAGATCAAGTCACAATAGTTGCACTTCATCTACAACTTCTATAAAACAATATATTGGATGACATCGTGCAGATCATACTGGAGAAAAGACCCTCCTTGCAGCACTTTTTAATAATAGAATATTCTCCCTGATGGCTTTTCTATAATTAATGATAACCTGCAAATAAACAAAAGTCTTTCAATATAAATAATTAATTAGTATTAAAAATAATTATAACTTTAGCATTTAAATAAATAATTAAAAATAAATAAAGGTTCTATCTGTTCAAATTTTATTTAATAACATGGATCTGTTTGACCCTTTACCCAGACCAAGTATTCTTCTACCGATGGATTAGAATAACACTTAATATATGGCTATATTAGCTCCATAGCCATAGCTTGGTGATAAATATTGCAAACCAAGTCCCAAGACTTATGATGATCGTGGCATTTCTTAAAATAGGAAAGTTGATTCTCAGTCTTATATCCCTGATATATGGTGAATTGCTTGAGATCGATATCCCTATTAAATAATTAAAAGTTATAAAATAAAGAATAAAAATATTTAAACATAATAGTGTCTTATGACAATTCCATATGTGTTAGCACAAACAAAAAAAAAAAAAACATTTAAATATGACATAAGTTTACTAATTTAATTTTACAAAAGCCCAAAGCATGTTCATTTCTTCATACAATTGCTCAGGAATAAGAATTAGCCATGGATACTTTTCTTTAATTTTTGCCACCTGATAATATGGAATGTCATCACATAATACAACTATCCGTTTTTGTATTCCATCTTTAATTCCTAAAATTTTTTCAATATTAAGAAAAACTTTTTTAATATTTTCAGTCATGTTAGGATTAATATTAAGAGGATCAGGTATAAAAATTTCCAGAATATTAACTTCTTCATTAGTATGAATTTTTTGAGTAATGCTAATTCTTGGTATGTTAGATGGTCAAGTTTCTCTTTTGATATTATATAGCTTAAAGGTTATTGATCGTTCTCCTCTTTCCTCTACTATTTCAGTATTTTGCTTCAATATTTCTGATAACATAGAAAGGTAATATTTACATTCTGGGCAGACTTGCTTTTTATTATCAATATTTTCTTTTTTACAGTTAGAATATTGCTTACTACAGTGAATATTTAGACCTATATTAGATATAAGAGAATCAATCTTATTAGTTATGGCTAATTTTTCTTTACATAATAAATCAAAAATTTTTAAAAGATAATTATGCAATTCTTCATTCATAATTTCTTGCATTTCGAGTGTAGTATCAAAAAGACTTTCGTATTGCTACCTATTGAGACAATTGAATGCCCAAGGTGTATTAATAGTATTCTGAATATAATTTTGAAAACTTATATTAAAGGCAACAAAAATAGTAAAGATATGAAATATCATTGTGTTAAGCCCATGGTCAAGAAAATTCCTTTGTCCTTTTGTTCATTATCAAATGCTAAAAATAAAAGACTGTGTAGTAAAGCTTCTTCTTTATCTGATAGTTTATCAAGCCAATTTTGAAAACAAAAATAGCTTCTTGAACTTGTGATGTGATTATCAATGTTGATAATAATCTTTGATCTTGCAATAGAATACTTAATAGCTAATGCGACAAGACTTATTTCTGATATGTATTTTCTATACCTAGACCCGTATACTGAATCAATAGCCACAGCCTTTTTATAATCTTCTCATTACTTTCAAAACCTGTATCAAGATTATTAGATATTAGCATTTCAATAAATTTTACAAGCATTTGATTACAATTACTTAGCCATGCTTGTGGTATATAATTTAATAGATTTTCTAAAAAAAATCTACTATTATTTCTTATAAGAAATTCAACATCACCATATAATGATTCTTATTCGATTAGCACAATATCAATAACAGCCTGTATGTGTTTATGATGATTGTCATAATAAAAATTCCACTACTTAATAAGTTGCTTGTTTGCTTCATACTGTTCTTGATATGCTTCATATTGTCTTTGATATTTTTCAAACTGTTTTTGATATAACTCTTCTAGCTGAGTTATCATTATATAACAATCTTCAAGCTGCTCGTTTAATCTAGATATAATCTTGTTTTTATTTCCTACTTGCTGTTGT